CTCCCCATTTTGGGGTTCCCCTCCCCATTTCGGGGTCCCCCTCCCCAATTCGGGGGTCTCTAACCATTCTCTCCCCCCCCTAGGGAGGAGACCTCGGTGAGACCCCTCCCCCAGCTCCCCTCCCCCCCCATTTTGGGGGCCCCCCCGGTTTAACCCCTCGCTGCCCGCGCCCCAGCGAGCCCCGGCGGAGGAGGGGGAGGGTCCCGAGGACCCCCAGGACCCCCCCCCGCAGCCCCCCCCCCTGCGCCGCAAGTCCTCGGCCAATTACCGCAGCTACGCCGTGGAGCCGCACGCCAAGGTGGGCAGGCCAAAATCACCCAAAATCACCCAAAAACACCCCAAAATCAGCAAAATCACCCCGAAATAACCCCAAAAACAGCAAAATCACCCCAAAATCACCTCAAAAACCAAAAAAATCCACCCTGGAAACCCCCAAATCACCCCGAAATAACCCCAAAATCAGCAAAATCACCCCGAAATCACCTCAAAAACCCCAAAAATCCACCCTGGAAACCCCCAAATCACCCCGAAATAACCCCAAAATCAGCAAAATCACCCCAAAATAACCCCAAAAACCCCAAAAATCCACCCTGAAATAACCCCAAAATCACCCCGAAATAACCCCAAAAACCAAAAAAAAATCCACCCTGAAACCCCCAAAATAACTCCAAAAACCCCAAAATAACCCCAAAACCACCAAAATCACCCCAAAATAGCCCCAAACATCCACCTGAAAACACCAAAATAACCCCAAAACCACCAAAAATTCACCCTGAAAACCCCAAAATAACTCAAAAAACCACCCTGAAAACCCCAAAATAACCCCAAAGAAAACCCCAAAAAACACCCCAAAAACCATCCCCGAAAACCCAGAAAAACACCCTGAAAACCCCAAAAACCCTAAGAACCTCACAGGAACCAGAAAGATACAAAAAAACAAAGCAAAAACACCCCAAAAACAAAAAAAAAAAATCCCAAAACCTCCAAAACCCACCCCAAAAACTCCTCATAAAACCCCAAAACCCCTCAATTCCCACCCAAATTTCTCCCTCCAGAGAAAATCCAAAATTTCGGCGTCCCGCAAGCTCCAGCTGAAGGTGAGGGGGGGGCCCCAAAATTTGGGGAGGGGTCCCTGGGGTCGGGGGGGGGCCCCAAATTTTGGGGGGTTGTCCCCAAATTGTCCCCCACTGAAAGAACCCCAAAATCTCAATGTCCCCACTAATTTTGAGGGGTTTTTTCCAAATTTTTGGGGTTTTACCCCAATTTTGGAGGTGCCTTGAGGGTCCTGGCGGTGTCCCCAAATTTTGGGGGGTGTCCCCAAATTTTGGGAAGGTGTCCCCAAATTTTCCCCCAGTCAAGAACCCCAAAATCTCAAAGTCCCAGCTAAATTTGAGGGTTTTTTCCCAAAATTTTGTGGCTTACCTCTGATTTTGGGGGTGTCCATGAGGGGCATCTCTGATTTTGGGGGGTGTCCCCAAATTTTGGGGGGGTGTCCCCAAATTTTGGGGTGTCCCCAAATTTCCCCGCAGACGCTGCTGCTGCAGAGGGCGAAGCGGGAGCTGGAGAAGGAGGAGCAGGACAGGGCGGCCGAAAAAATTCGGGTTTTGGGGGAGCTGTGCCCACCCCTGGCAGCCCTGGAGGGGATGGGGGTG